TGTTGTTGCAGCACACTCGTCCTGTCTTTCATGCGCTTCTTCTTCGTTTGTGCGTGCGTACGCGGGTGTGCACGCGTGTGTATAGTGTGTGTTTGTGCCTGTGTGTGTCAATGTAACGTACCTGCGTATGTCTCTTCGACTCTTGTTTCTTCTCTATCTATTTATGTCTTCTTTTTTTTTTTGTCCTTCTATTTTTGTCCTTCTACTGTTCGCACCAGTGGCATCATGGACTTGTACGTCCTGATGAGACGTTTTCTCACAAGCGCGGGCCCAATCCTCCCGAGCTCCAAATCCCCTCGTCCAACGCTCAGGAGCGCTAGGCTCCGATAAAACAAAAACCAGAAATGAGGGTTGCAGCCCCCCGGTGCAACCACGTGGAACGAGCTCGCCAAGCAGAGGAAAGGGCAGCTTACTCTGGCGCTGCTCCGTAGCGTGGATCTGCAAAATGCGATGTCAGAAACGATTATGGTTGGGATGACCGAGGACAGTCACGAATATGTAACAAGCTTGACAACATTTGCGGCAAACTAATGCAACGTAAAAGGGAATGAAAACACTATTATAAACATGTTTTCTACTTCAAAACATAGACGCCCATTTTTTTATGCCTCCTTACAGCTAAAAGACAAAAATAAAAAATAAAAATAAAGAAATATATATATAGGATTATGTAATCTGGTAGTTAATTGTATATAGTCGTATTTTCAGTAAACGAGATATTCACTTCTATTAGGTCTCAAAAATACACATTTCAACTCTTAACCATGTTGTTGTAGCAATCACAATATGTTTCGCAAGTCTTGTTATTCCACCACGAAATTCGAAGCAAAAGGCATACTCAGTCTATGTGTCATCACCTGAAGGTATTGCTACGCAGAATGATTTTTCACGTGGCGCGCGAATTCGTGCCTGGGATATTGACATAAAGTAACTGTAGACGGTAGAAGCGTCAAATAATCAAAATTACTCTCGTTTGGCTGGGAAACACTCGCGCGTCTCGGAGCTTTATTTTACCCCAGCATGTAGCGCAACAACACGTAACCAGTAGATGGGTTGTATTGCAACCACAGTATTTGTTTTGCGGTGTGTGTATTATTCACTTTTGATATGAAATGACAGCACTTTTGAAATTGCTCGGTATATATAAAAATCTATATTAAGTAAAAATCAACCAGGAAATAAAATCCTGCATTGAATAATCTTACCTTGAACTGCATCCAAAAGAAATACTCTTATTAACCGCCCGTGCCCAGAAGGATTCATAGATCGGGTGTTTAATGCGCTCTATCTAGCAGGAGGTAGAGGCCCTCTATCCTGCCAACGTAAGAAAACATTTGTTGCATTTTACACGCACCTTTCTTGGGGAATGTTTTGAAGAGATTCCGTATATCGCCTTTATATTAACTTGCCCCGACATTGAAAGCTCCGGGCGCTATTTGTTTGGCGATGTATTGTAAATAAATTGCACGAAACCGTATACGAGAACTACGTAATAAACCTAAGACAGCTAAATATTTTTTTAAATATTTTAATGGACTACGCCATTTTTATTACCGAAAGCTCTGGTATATCAAAATCCTATATTTGCTTTTCAACGCGATTGGAAAGTGTTCACTTTTGAATGCGAAAGCATTAACTGTTTCAAAGAATGCAGACGGCGTTGTCCGTAAGCACAAAAAACGGCACCTAGTCTTATTGGTTGAGTGTAACGGCACCTAAATGCCCATTGGCTGAGCGAAACGGCACCTGAATGCAAGTCATCACGCAAGCGCACTCAAAAAGGAAACACAAAGAAAAGCACAGCAACCCAGATGCTTCGTCACAGAAGCCGAAGAAGGCGCTCAAGGTCAAACCGGACGCGTCTTAAAAGTAAAACACAAAGAAAAGCACAGCAACGCAAATGCATCGTCACGGAAGGCGTGGAGCCGGCGGGCTTTGCTGCGCCTGCCCAGTGGGGAAGCGTGACGTCACTGCCGGAGCGCCCAGTGCGATACGAAGACGTGGCGCGCTGCTTCTAAGAATGTTTTCGCATTCCTACACGCATTCCTAAGTTGTGTGTAGGACTGCGTTCCGATTCCTACACGTCATAATGTGTCGCTTTCGTTCGTCCCACCCACCGCTTATGTGAAATGCGTGGCTGAGCAGGAGGGTAAAAGTAAAAGCGCCGCGTTGTTTCGGTGGCGCCCTCTTATGGTCCCACCCTCTTACGTCACGACTAGAGTTGACCTCACCGTGACGTCACGAATTGTCGTCTTATGTACTTAATATCAGTTGCGAACCAAAAGTTCGACGGTGAGCGTAAAACGCATGACGGAAGCTTGGAGCTGTCACACACTCAAACAAACATGATCAATGTTGACAGTCTGACATTGCTCGAATTGCCGTCTATAAAACGATTAATTCCCCCTCTGCACGTTTCTGTCATGACGAGTACCGTACCGGCGTGCGGTTTTCAGAGCGCAGCTTTTAGGCGCCCGTTTCCGGCTTGAGCGGCGTCACCGTCGCCGTCGGCGTAACCGTGCGTTGCATTAATAATAGTTTTCCATAATGACGTCACTCGTGACGTCACGTGTGACGTCACGAGGGCAAATGTTTCCGCAAAAATCTGTGTGAATTTAGTGGGAAAATGTTTCCTTTAAATTTAGGGAAAAATGTTTTCTCTAAATCTAGGGGAAGAAATTTTTCCGATAAATTTAGCACAAACATTTTACCCTCGTGACGTCACACGCGACCCTCCTCTCCTCCTCCTCCTCCTCAAGAGCTGCGCTCTAATTCGGCATTACAGAGAATTGGAAACGTCTTTCATTTGTTAATCACTACTGCTTGAGACACTTAAAGATCCAATTCTAGTAGTGGTATTCCGCTGGCTAAAGGTTTCCTCTTCAACGGAGACATAAGGAACTCACTGAGGCTGACCGAATTCTCGCTGTCTAAACATACAGGGTCTCTCCAAAAAGTATCGGGACTGATATTTTTTTTCCAGCAAAGGGGACCGGGTGAACGGTAACCTCCTCAAGCGGGAACATTGGTGGGGGATTCCAGGCCTCCGACGCGATCCGCCTCAGCTGCCTCTGAGCCTTTGCAAGAGTGTGGATCGCGCCCAAAGTGACCAGTTGCTTTGTCGTGCCATCGGGAATCACGACGCGGCGGACGATTGAACGGCGGCATGCGTTCTAGTTTTGCCCGAAACTAAACAGACGCGGTGCTCAAACTTTTGACGCAATCTGTCAATCTGTAAAACCTTCGGAAATGATTCCACGTCAAAAACACGAGTTTTCGAGCGGCACAAGAAGTTTAAAGAAGGAACAAAGGGCGAGACGTCGGTCGACAAGCCGCAATGAGGAATACGTGGCAAAGGTGGAATAACTTTTGGTCCCTGATCGACGCGTGAGTGTAAAAATAATCGAGGAAAATTTGAATTCTCACAAAAATCCAGCGTGCACTCATATAGTTCGCCGCCGACAAAAGTGTGTACGAAAATTTGCCAAATGCGCCAAGTGACGCATCGCTACGCGTACGGGAGTTTCTGACGGACGTGGCAACACTGCCTCAGCCTAACTACGGTCCAGACCTGGCCCCGTTAAACTTCTTTTTCTTCATTCGAATGAAAAGAAGCATCCGAAAGAACACTATTCTGTAACGGTAGAAATAGTGCAAGCGGCTTCGACGCAGTGCCCCAAGCAAATTCCTGTTGCAGATTTCCAGAGGGCGTACCATGCGTTGAAGAAGCGCTGACAACGGTGTCTTGACGGAAAAGAATGATATTGACTGAAGCTTTAAATTATTTAATGTATACCTGCAATATGTTTGTATTAATGTAGTTCCGATACTTTTTGGACAGACCCTGTACACTTAACGAAATGGAATTAACCCCAGTGAAGACGTCATAGCGACCGTTTGGCTAATCATGGAAAGGCAACTAGAGCGACGTTTTTGTTCGCGACACATCGCCAATACGAGAATATCCCGCTTCTTAATGGAAAAGAAAGTGTGACTATACATTGTGTGACTCAACGCGAACGGAACGAAATAGCAACACCAAAAAGAACCAATGGCAGCGATTTTTTTTTCTTCGGTTTGTTCAGGTAGGACGGCTGTAGGGAGATTGTTCCCTCTCGCAGACCCAAATCCGCAACCTCGATGTGCGCGAGCGCATGGCCTGCCAAGCCTAATCCTGCAGCAGAGCGCCACCGCACTTTCGTACCCTGCTAGCGGGGCCCGCCTCGCTGTTTGGCCACCTTTCTGTTTTGTTTCCCGCCGCAGTTGCCACCGCTAGATTGAAAAGCGCCAAAACGGAATCGACCGAGGCCCCAAAGAAGAATGGCCAAACGTTTCTAAGTCCGAAACATGGTTGAAAACACAACAAAGGTCAACCTGCGAAACTGTTTATGTTAGGAATGGAAAAATTCAAACATATTTTTTGTATCGTACTTTAAATGTCGTTTTTATAACCTAGGCAAAGGTAAAAAAACTCAGATTTTTTGAACTGCTATTTAGTGCACGAATCTGATATTTTACGGTACTTCCCAGCGACTTTTTCTGAATTTTGATTCCGACTTTTCGTACCTTAGACCGTACAACTTGCCAAAAAAAGCAAGCAAAAACTCACTTTTGCGAGTTTTGGCTTTCTGGAATCTTTGGTCTCCGGGACTGTTTTGTTTCTAAGACGAAAGTTATCCAACGTACAGGGCTCAACGGAATAATACGAACCAGCGGAGCGCGTGGCCTCGCCTCGCCCAAAAGGCGGATTCGTGTGGTTGCTCTACGCTAGAAGAACTGCATATGCTAACTGTATGCGCTAGAGCGACTGTACATATGCCCCCCCCCCCCCCCCCCCCCCCCAGCAAAGCATTTGCAGACACTCTAACGAAGCCAAGCGCTCTGCTAATCTCTTCTTTTTTTCTTTTTCGTTGAGCACTGCACATTTGCATACAGCGTATATCTTCTTAAAGGACAGTTGGAAACGTGGCGCTTATTTCCCTACTTTTTTCTGCGCCCAGGCGGCTCTTCCTCCGTGCACAAAAAGCTGCCCAGCTTCGCCGAGCCCATCCCCAACGTGACGGTGGCAGCGGGTCGCGAAGTGACGCTCACCTGCGTCGTCGAGAACCTGGGAAGCTTCAAGGTAAGACTTCGCCTGTAAACCTTTAGATATTTATCGTTCCACTTTGTCACGCGACCGCTTAATCTGTCACAAAGTGCTTCTTCTACGACGACGGCCGTTCTTGGTGACGTCGAGCAGCAAATTTCGCCCCTGCGCGTTTCGTGGGCGTGGTCTGCTCAATTAAGTGAGAAAGTTACTCCCCTAAATCTAGAATAAAATCAAAGTGTCCTGACCTTTCGTCGTCACAGTATTTATTGACGTTGTGTCACATGACAGTTAAATTTAGCGGATAGATTTTTCTGCCAAATTTAGCGGGAATTTAGTATCACGTGATATTATGATCCCAAGTGACGTCGCAGAATCACGTAATGTCATGCCGTCACGTGGTGCCATGGTGTATCATTAAAATATAAGCCAAATTTAGCGGTACGTAAGTTCGCTTAAATCTCAGCGCCGCGGTATAACTGTGTGCAGATATGTGTAGCATCTCGGCTACCGCCGAAGTCTATTTGAGGGTCAAGGAGAGGGCATATTTTTTTCCCACGCTACACAGAAAGTATTTGCCTAAGAATTTAAGTATAGTCCCCTATTAGTGACGACTTAACGATTCATATCTTGGGAAACATTTCGCCTTGTGTCGACGCATGCTTTAAAGGGACAGTAAAAACAAATCTTCTTTTCGTCGCTTGACTTCAAAGTTAATTTGTTGTTTTTTTCGAGTGCAATACTATTAGAATTTGAAATAACATCCAGCATCTTTGTGTTTCGTTGCGTGTGTGTTTACTTCGAAGAATTACGGCTTTTTTTTTACGTGTTCGGCATCTTGAATAAATAAATAAATCATCGGCGAATAAGTTTGAAAAAAATATGTGTTGCAAGCAAGAACCTATAAACGTGATGCATTCATTCTAAGCGATAGTAAGCTTCAGTAAACATTTCGACTTATTGTTCGAGCTCGAATCCAACCATACACAATATATCTGCCAAGTAGAAACTAAAATAACCTTCGACGCCTTCCAAAAGAAAAAAAAAATATGAGCACACAGTTTTGTGAAAAACAAGGCCAACAACCCCCGTTGCAGGCAACGTGTGCAAACAACAAACATCAAATCCCCCCTGAAAAAAAAAGAAATAGAAATAGAAAACAAGTACAAGTACGATTCGTTCCGTCGCAACTTATTACGGCAGTCGTGGGCAAAGAGATCTTCGACAACCGAAACAAATACGATCAGAAAAGAAACACCAACACCACAACCCCAAATGGATCCACGACTAACCGCTTCACCGTCGAACACCGTGTAGTGCTATTTGCCGCCGTTCCATCATCAACTTTCACCTCCACCAACGGCGCTACGATTCTTTTTTTGTCGTGTTTCTTTTTTTTTTTTATTTTATCGCGCCAACGTGACGTGACTCGGAGCCTTGCTTTAATGACGACAGCGTGTCGACTCACGTCTCAGAAAAAGAAGGGGGGGGGGGGGGGGGGGGGGGGCGAGGTGGTAACGCTCTGCTTCCGACAACCAACGGTTTCGGCCGAGCGAACGCGCTGGACTGGCAACATCGGGACACACTTCACACTCTCCGCCCTCCATTGTGCTGCTGCTTGGAGGGACGCGGCACCCTCGACAACAAGGTTGTCCTTATCCGTCCCTCCGTCGTCGAGCCGGACACAATGCAGGACACAAAGGCGACGGGAGACTCAGACGCGATGGCAGAGATTGGTCAGTACGCCAAGATGGAGAATGCGTTTAAAAGCAGCGGGGTCCGAGCACAAAAACGTGTTCCGTGATGTGGCTGGAGTGACATGTGTAAACTAGGCACCCATTGGAAACCTGTGTCTCTTCTTAACTTAAACACGCCCGGCGGTTTCATGGGTGCTTTTTTGACGACGACAACGTCGTTCGACAGAATGCTTTTTCTTTTGTTTCCACAGGCAACAGCAAATACGTAAAGCTCCGAAAGAACGCCCACTCAAAATGTAGAGATAAAGGGTTAAACCCATTAGGTGGGCTATCTTTGCGGATGCCACAGAAAAACGTTGTCAGACATTGATAAAATACCTGGCACCCGCTACAAACCACGTGACGAGGGAACTGATACCGCATATCGGGGACACGGCAAATTCGCGTTTCACGATGCGATAAATACGCGGGAATTCGCAACGAACTCAGGTGTCACGGGAAAGGATACCTCAGGTTGCACTCTAAGAATTAGGGGGTGTATATGGGTACACTCCTTGTCCCATATGTCACCAAAATAACCATTCGACTTTCAGTCCAAAGATGTCAAACCGACGATATCAACTTTCAAGAGCGGCTTGATAGTTGACCGATACAACTTATTAAAATAGCTAATGTATGCATTAAAGGCTACTGTAAAACAATCACTGTTTTTTTGTTTTTTGTTTTTTTTTGGGGGGGGACCTGCTGCAAAACCTGTGTTGTTTTTTTTTATTTCTATTCTTAGAAACGCACATTAGCTATTTAGTACATTATACCCAACAGCCATCAAGTCGCTCGTAAAAGTTGGCATCGCCAGCTCGACGTCAGTAGACAGGACGTCCAAATGTTGTTTCCGGGTGTTTCACATGGGAAAAGGGGGTACCCCTATACAGGCCCTATTTCTAAGAGTGTGCGGAAGCCGCTGATTTGTGTATCGCGGTGCGCAGGACCCGCGGGAAAATGTCAAGAACTCGCATCCCACTGGAACAAACACCGCGAATTGCGGACGCAGGTGATTCAAGTTTTGTGGTGCAATAAACACGCGGGAACCCGCTACAAACTTGCGTGTCACGAGCACGGATATCGCGCGCGCAGATCGCCGACCAAAATGCGGGAATCCGCTACAAATTTGTATGTCACGGGGACATATACCGCAGATCGCGAACGCAGCAGAACCGTATTTCACGATGCGATATACACGCGGGACAAACTCCTGTGGAATCGAGATCGCGCGCGCAGGTTGCAGATACAAACGCGGGAGTCCGCAATGCACTCGCTTGTCAGACGTGCCGGTATAGCGGATTGCGCAGTTGATGCGATTCAAGTCGGACATCGTGCGACGTTCGACGGGATTTGGTGGGTGGGCGATGTTGCGGAATTTTTTATGTTAGATATTAAGCCAGAAATACGGGACGGGCGATCTCTCGGGGGCGAGGGTTCTCTCGGAACTTTACGGTAGGGCTTTAGCTCTCGAGTTCGGGCAGCGTCTATGCCGAGCACCATCGAATATTTCTCGGCGCGGTTTAGTTGCGCGTCATTGAGCTTTTTCACGTTGCTCATGGACGCTAAGCAGCCAGAATTTCTTTGGTGGACAATAATTTTGGGGTAAAAACAAGAACAACAAAGCTAAAAGAAACGAGCTTTTGTCATCTTGACAGGACAGGGCGAGTTGCAGTTTTATTTGTTGCTTAACCCTTTTTAGTTCCTTCACACCAAGGCGCCGCACCGCAAGGTCAGGTGTTACATTGTTGATTATCACCAGCTCGCCTGCACGCTCATTGTTATTTAGGCATCTCACTTAACGGGCGCCGCCATGTAACTATAGGCCAAACAACAGCTTTGGCATGGCACTGACGTGGCAACACGGTCGTTCGCCTCATATCATGGTGGCGTCCACTGAATCGGTGTCGAACGGGTGAAATTCGGTGGCCAATCTTTGCCTGGCCAGCAGGGAGTCGGCACGTGGCGGACGCTATAGACACGTGGCGGACGCTTCAGCGTCGTCATGAGTGAGCTGTCATAGCGCGGCTTTAGAAAGCGAGCATATCAGGCGCCATAAGCACGAACGCCGAGAATGGCACAGGGTCGAGAAAGCCGTAAAAGCCCTGCTTCCAGCAAACGTTCGCTGCTTTTTATGGTGATGAGAATGCGCGTGCGCATCTAAACTTCTTTTGTTGCGCCGATCGTATCGAAAGCCAGCGGCGACCGCGGGCAGACAAAGCAAACCGCAGGCGCGGACCAGACATAGCCTAAGCCTAACGTGGCCGACCAAGCTGCGAGCAGACGATGGGAACTTGGACGAGAGAACGTCGGTGCGCAAGGCAGTCTGGGACTGAGTCTTTTATTCCGGCGTCCCTCACTTCATGCCGGGCCCTGCTGTATTCAAACATAGTTGTTTCAGGCGCTCTGTTACCGCGCGAGGAACATAAATACGAACGACTATAAACGACCGTGGTTCATTTATGGTCGAACGATGCAGTGGCGCTTTATTTCCGATGCAAGCACTACATGGGAGCGTCTTACGGGCACGCTCGAGCCCCCTGGCCGAGAGAAAGGCGCCTATTGAAGCCGCTTTTAAAAACCATGGGCCGGCGATCGTGACTTTGCAAGTACTAGAGGGCCTAGATCGTAGAGAGGTTTCATCTCAAACAATGGGGAGCGTTTGCAATTTAATGGCTAACGGGGTTCTCCTGCCGCGTTTAACGTGCGCAGGTGGCCTGGATCCACACGAACCGGCACATGCTGATCTCGATGCACGACAACCTGATCACGACCAACCCGCGGTACGGCATCGCCCACAACGGCCACCGGACGTGGCAGCTGCACATCCGGGAGGTGGAGGAGGCCGACAAGGGAGAGTACATGTGCCAGGTCAACACCAACCCCATGAAGAAGATCATGGGCTACCTACACGTCGTCGGTGAGAATACCACTTCAAGTCTCTGTAATGATCTCGCCATAAGAAATTAAAAAATGAAAGCCGTTTACAACTCCCTGTAACGCCGAATTAGAGCGCAGCTCTTGAGGAGGAGGAGGGAAGGATGCTGAGGGGGAAGGTATACCCCTCCTCCATCCTACTCAAGTCCTCATCCTGTCTGCTACTCCTCCCTCTGAGCGGCGTCGCCGTCGCCTCAGGAGGGTCACGTGACCTCACGGTGGTCCTGTGACGTCACCGAGCGCAGCTCTTGAGGAGGAGGATGCAAGGGTACTGAGGGGAGGGTATACCACTCCCCCTCCTCCTCACATCGTCATCTTGCTTGCTATTCCTCCTTACCTCCTGCCTCCTTCTCCTTCTCCTCTCCTCCTTCTCTTTCACCCCCCCGTGGCCGCCGTGAGGTCACGTTACCCCTGTAAAGTCACGTGACCCCCCTGAAGTCTCGTGGCCCAGTGAGGTCACGTCGTCTCCATGAGGTCACGTGGCCCCCTGAGGTCACGTGACCTCAAGGGGGGGTCACTTGACCTCAAAGGGGTCACCTAACCATGAGGTCACGTGACCTCATGATCACGTGACCTCATGGTTACGCCAATTGCGACAGCGCTCAAGCCGGAAACGGGCGCCTAAGAGCTGCGCTCTAAAATAAACACAAGGTGACTTTCCTACCAATACAAACATGGTGTTAAAGGGCGTGGAGAGCGGCAATAACAGATCGGAAAGTGTCAACCTCTGGGATGCAAACAATGTGCTCAGATAGATCATTCCAGTCAGAAATAGCCAATTGTAATAGATAGAACTTGAATTGATTAGTCCTTGGTGCAACTAGATGAATGATGAGTGGGTGATCTGTGTGAGGAGAGATGGAAAGCCGACGGACAGCATGCACCCTTTTTGAAGGAAAGTAGTAATACATTTTGCGTGGGTGTACGATACGTGATATGTTTCTTTGGTTTTTAAAAAAGAGAGATGTTTAGCTCAGAGTTTAGTGCAGTGATACTGGCAGTAGACGTTTAGTTATGAAGGATGAAGCGAGTGGACCGGTGTTGAATAGCTTCCAGGTTTTCTTCTACGTATACCTGATGGTGTTCCAGGCGCTTGAGGCGTACTCAACCTGAGGACAGATGAGAGCTAGTATTATATGCGATGAGTTTAGTTGGCGACGGGGCCGGATAAAGGTGACGTTTTAAAAAGCCGATACTTCGGTTAGCTTTTGCAGAGATATGGCTGATATGAGGTTCCCATGATACGTTATTATTAAGGTTGATGCAGGTATTTACATGTTGCGACAGTTTAAATGGGTGTGCTAGAAAGTGCATAGTCAAATTCGGTAGTACTTTTCTTTGTAGTGAAGTTAAAGCATTTAATTTTGTTAACTTTAATTTCCATCTGCCAATCTCGACAGCACCATTCAACATGAAACGAACCAGTTTTCGCAAAGGCTGCAATCGGACACATTTGTTATATTTGTATGAATGACACAGTCATCGGAATATAATCTAATAGTTGAGTTAAGTAGACCTTGCAGGTTATTTATGTATATTAAAAATATTACCTAGCCCAGCACAGTTGTCTGTAGTACTCCTGATTTAACACCTCTCTGTGAAAAACAAATATTATCTATTGTAACATTATGCGTTCGACTTGAGAGAAAATTAGTTATCCAATTTATAATCGATGCTTTTATTTTGATGGCGCTAAGTGTTTGAATGAGACGACTGTGCGAGACTTTGTCGAAAGCATTTTTAAAGTTTATGAAGATGGCACGATTCTCATTTTTAAGATGTAGGTTTTGGTGGAGATCGGTTTCAAATTCAGACAGTTGAGAATCACAGGAGAAGGACTGCCGAAAACCGTGATGGTTAGATAAAAGCTTGCAGAACAGTGCAACAGGCGGCTCTGATTTTGCCGCGTGCTATGCGGAGCGGCGGTTACGATCGTATTGGCCGTGGAAGTACCTTTAGTCTTTACCTAATTAGAGCAATATGAAAGAAATGTGTAATGTATGTCGCAATATCTATGCAAAATCTAACAAAACTTTTGAAGTCCGCAATCTTTCCAGAAACTCTATCCCTCTGCTACATAAAGCATTTCGACATACTCAGGCTCTAATCTCAATTTCTGTGGACCTGGGGAAACAAAACCTATGAAGAGTAGCTCCTTATTCGGAATTAAATTTAAGTTTAAAAGAAAAGCACCGCGATTTCTTCGTTCTTTATATTTTTTTACTGTTGTTTTCTTCAAATAGTTTCTTTGGCAATACTGAGCGAGTCAGTGCATAGTTTGCCTCTGCGCAAAGTAAACATAGAGCAGAATTGTCTACAAGAAACAACACGCAATTCAACGATGCCTACACCAGATTTTATATCAAAGCACCTTGTATAATCCAGAAGTCTGCGTCCCCCTTAAAACTGTGACGCAAACATAAAACCTTTTATTTTATGTTTGCGAGTTTGTGTTGTTGCTTTGCTGCGATACTTTAATCTCGACACCAGACAACATTTTAGGGAAGACGAAACAAACAAAAAGCCGAGAACCTCATTTCCCCCATCCCGCCACTTTTCCTTTCTCCCTTCTTCACCTCACCCCAACGTTTAAAAAAAATGCTGCGACGAAAAAAAAAAACGTCTTAAATAAACTGTATTTAGATGTTAGCCAACTCGTTTTTTTTTTTTTTTCTGTCAAGACAGCAACATTTCTACGTGAGTTTTTGATATAAGACCCCATATTATATCCTCCCCATGAGTCGTCACAGCGCTTGGAACAAACGCTTGATAAAATAAGAATGGAGACAACAAGAAAAATTAAAAAACGACAACACAAAATGTGCGAGGAAGGAACGGGAGGCGGTCTGTACGACACTTTCGGTGACGGGAGCGATAGAACACGAGGGCAAAACAACTAAAGAAAACAAAACGCGGCGAAACCTTCCAGAAAAATAAGTATCCGCTCAACTCAGTGAGTTGAAAAGAAAGGAAGAGACCGTTAGAAATAATAACGCGCACTTGAGTGAAGCGCCCGAGCTAGCAGAAACAGCGATGTTATATTGGTTCCCTTCTCTATACATTTACGCTGTTTACAAATGCGTCTATCCTTTCCTCAGCGTCTTTCTTATATTCAATTCCTGTTTGGGTTTCTCATGCTCCCCGTCGTACGACATTCATCCCATACAAAAGAGACACTGATAAAATAAAGTGTGACTCGAAAGACGAATCTGGAAACAATCTAAAAGCTGCACATAAATTTTAATCTTGGTAGCTCGGAATATCTGCAGACTGCGTAAGAACAATGACAAGAAAGAAAAAAAGCACTGCTAGACGGTGTGATAAAGGAATAAAAGAGCGCAGCGGACATGAGAATTCCCCCCTACCCCTTCCCCCAACATTTTGCAGTGCTACATCACGCTTGTCGTTCGTATCTAGCGAGAAAACCCTCCGCTCGCGTGATTGACGGCCTGCGAATGCAGATTATCTTCGAGCAAATTCGCGTTTTCATAAAGCGTCGTTTTTCGGTACGGCGTGCGTTGAGGAGTTTGTAAAACACAGGCGTCGCTGGAACTGGTGATGACGTTGCAGGGTAGTCTTAAAGGTGAGCGCGTTTGGACACGCTCATTCTTGCTGATGTACGCGTTTAAGAGCAGCGCGAATTCTGACGAAAATTAGACTTTACTATGGCTGCATTTACGAAGACGCTACCGCAGCGCGTAAAATCGAGATTCAATTATTCTTATTCGTTAGAAGATAAAGACGGAGAAAGACAGGGTACATGTGATTTGTTCCTGATCGATTCTATGCGCAGGGTCGTCGTCGGTGGCCGAGTGGGCTAGCGCACACCAGCTCGGAGCACGTCGAGCGAATGCTCGCGCCGCGAAACCCATGGATCCTGAGTACAATCCTCACCCCTGCTCGTTTCGATCTGGATGAGCATCGTACCGGCGTGCGGTCATGTATCACTACTGCGTGGTGCACGTTAAAGATTCCAGTCTAGTGGCTCCATCGCACTGGCTAAATAGCTCATCTATAGCTGAGACAACGGACGCACACTAAGGCAGACTAACTTCCGGTTGTATAAACGTACACAGACTTTTTTTTCGCGATGCGCTGCGACCGTATTCTTGCCAACCCAACTAATAGAAAGGCGAACGGGACGGGTCAAACCGCGAAAGTACAGTTAGGAATATTTTGAAACGCGCAACATCCGTCGAGGAAGCTCTACTAAGTTAAGGGCTCGCGCAAAGCAGTCTTTGGCCACAGGGATGGGCCATTAGGATTTGAATGAGGAAGAGCAAAGCCAGAGAACTCGAACCAGGTCGAGTTTTTCAATGTTTTAATTGAAAAGATGATATAATTAAGCCTCGCCCCTATCACGACCAGAAAACGCCCCGGTCTGCCCCTCGCTGTTCTTTTTAAAGCGTATCATAGCCTACGCCACCTCTTGCATTCCCCCTGGTTGGTGCATGGTGGCGACCGTGATTAGCTGCTTTATTTTTCTAGCATGACGCAAACTTTTTGTAACCATAAAAGAAGTATTTTCGCACCTTGCGGCATGCTTGCAGATGGTGACGACCCGGTTGACGTGGTCTGGAGCAGGTCAGTGTTCCCATTTGTAACAGCGAACCACTTTCTTTCAAAAGTGTGCAGAAGTCTCTTGACCACTTCAGAAGACTCATTCGCGCAGCTGCCTTCAAAATGCCTCGATGGTTTTTTTATTGTACCATTAGAATGCATTTAGAACGCCCTGGGAGTGCAAGGAGGTGCCCTGATAGTGCCCTCCTAATGCCCTGGAAGTGTTTTGATAGTGTCACTGGCGTGCCTGGCGAGAGCCCTTGAAGTGCGTTTCAGAATCATCAAAAAATTTCTAAACCTGTCTCTGACTTCGCCAAAATAAAAACAAAATAAAAGGCTCATAGCAAAGGCCTCTAAAAAGAATCTTCAAGCGTGCTTTTAAATATATGATGACTGTTTGTTAAGAAAATTAACTAAGTGAGCGAAAACATGCGCTTTATTATCTGCAAACACACTCCTGCATAGGGGCATCAATGGTGGAGGTGACTTTTTTTTTTTTTATGATATTTTTAGGAGTCTTTCTGGGAACTTTCATTTTGAGTACATGAGGATCTAGAATTGATATACATTAATCAAACATGCAAGGAGGTATTGCAACGTTCGAGCCGTTGTAGCACACTTAAATCGCTGCCGTTACAAAATCTAACAGCACAAATTCGACGAAAGTAAGCACTCTTTACTTATCCGCGATGCATCCTATCATTCAAGCGACCAGTGAAAATCTTCTCGGCAAACATACACCACCAACAACACACCAAATGCTCGCTCCTTTGAATAACACTCGTTGAAGTGTCTGCCTCCAACCGGCTCTAATTTGAATCTTACAATTGGTGCGTCTCATTCTTTCGATACGTCCCTCAGTAAACAGATCTCGCTCTTGAAAGCGGCGTTTCCAGAAACGACAAGAATTCCCCAGACACTCCGGACACACGCAGCATTCTTTGCAAGTATCCTTTCTTCCGCATTTCCTTTCGGAAAGTTCTTCAGACGCCTTTTATCAACGCACGCACGAGCGTCGCAATTCTCTACGCCGATCGTATCCATCCTTTTTTCCGCCTCTCACACTTGAGACGGAGACATCTCCCGCCCTGGCATCCTCATAAATACCATCTAGTGGAGATGTTGTCTCGGTGTTGTGACAGACAATCTCTGATCACGGTTCGGCCTACATCTTGTTTCGTCAAAAAACAAAGAAGCCGCCCTGAACTTGAGGGACATTCCGTTCGCTCGCGAAATGTCGAGGCAGAACATCCTATGCTGAGTGAATCAAAGCAAAAAAGGCGGAATCCACCAAAAAATGATCAAAGACCTTCAGAAGCAAGTCTCGACAGTCAGTCGATTCCGAGCTCAATCTCGAGCACCCCAAAACACACGTGACCATGCTACGCCGCTGAAAACCGAGCGACGTGCGTGGTATTCTTGTTTTAGCTTTATTTTTTCTTGTTTGGAATAGAGAATAGATACAAGCATGTATCTAGTTTTTTTTTTTTTGTTGCTTTTGATTTCTATAATATTCGAGTCGTTTTAGAGATGGCAACCGACCGGAATTGCCGGACTACTGCCGGAGTAATGTCATCGGATTCCAATTGCAAATACGGATCCTAGGACGCACGTCGCTTTGGAATGTGCCGCCGGCTCCGCACAATAAGACAAAAAACGCATATTCAAACTAAAGTAAATTCAAGTTTGCTTATGAATAAAAAAAATAATAATGCCATATATAAACTGGGACGACAAAAAGAACGAATTTTTTCGCGCGTGAACTTGAAAGGAGAATGTCGGTATTCGATTACATCACTGACACGCAGACACCTGGGCGTTATTTCTTAATATTGTTTACTTATTTATTTTGTACGGGGGAGCATTTTTATATTAGCAACGGTTCGATCGCTCGAGTTTTAGAGAAATATTAAATATTAAAACGCTGCACATCGTCGAGAGATGGCGGTTACGACGTCCGCTCTAAATCTGATTGGTGAGTTGAAATGACACGGTGTGACGCATCTCGTCAAGTTAGTGTAGCTACGTCGTATTCTAAAAAAACAAACACATTCAAACAACCAGATCGTACTCTAAACACAACAATATTAAACAATATTGCGTGACGCCTATAAACCGTGATTATCTGTACAATTTAAGATAGAAAATCGCAATCTTCATTAAGAACTAACTGCTGAAGTTCCAGGGAAGCAATTTGATGAAAATAGATTTTTTCGGAGAATATATTCGTACATGCACGCTGGTTATAAAAAATAATGAAGCTCCAGCAATATTTAAATAAAAACTTCAAAATTACCACGCGCTCGCTGCACTCGCACTTCAACTTCAACTTTATTTTAACAATAGTTTTGCAGAGGACGCGGTACGAAAAGATACCAATAAGAAGCTTACCCGGGTTCGATATTCCTTCTCGTAGAGAACAACGTTGTAGATATTGTGAAAAAGGCAGATTTTATTTTGTGGCATTGTGGCTTGCTAACGCCTGCGCTCGTGTGGCATTCATGATGTGGCAAGTAATTTTGTGTGTGTGTTCTATCTCAACATATCTATTAAATAATTGGTTGAGTAGAAGTGTGAAGCCATGACTTGGAAACGTGCCTTTTTAGGCCCCTCGCAGCAGCACTGATTCCAATGAATAATTTCGAAAAACAGTTGGAGTGGGAAGGCAAGGTAAAATATAATATTGGCTTGAGTTAGACTTGACTATTTATACAGCGAGAAGTTCGTCAGTATCAATGGGCGTCTGGTGTCTCAGCTGTAGGTAAGAAATTTAACCAGTGCAGTACGACCGCTGGCTCACGGTCTTTAAGGTGCAGAACACAGTAGCTATACACGACCAAGTGCCGGTACGATGAATATCCGTATAGTAAGGGCCAAAGGTCAAGGTTGAACCAGGATCCTTGGGTTCAACAGCGCTAGCTTTCGCTACACGAGCTCCAACATGCGATGCGTTAACAAACTTGACTATCAATCCGATCCCCCTTTCGCCCTCCGAACACATCGCATGCAGCGAAAATTTAAATATTTACGAAATTGTATTTTCTAATGTTTTCGCAGTTTATGTATTTACCGCCAACAAGAAACAAAAAAAAAGGCTTAGGTGAACGCTAACACATGCCAATTTTGTATCTATGTCCTTGCAGTACAGGATTGGATTGGATTGGACGATTTGAGTGTTCGTTCAGCTAATATCTCAATGTACGGCGACACGGGTTTGATGCTGTAACGGAGTCATCTAACGAGTGCTGTACAACTTACACGGAGTCCTTAAAGTGCATCACGCAGCAGTGATTACATGACCTCGGTGTACTCATACGGTGCTCTTCCAGATATAAAAAGGGCGGGTGTGGGAACTGAGCGCCGGCCCTGCAAAAGATGTACACTCTAAAAAAAGCCCGTGCGTCTACTTTCCCGCACAACACTCGGACAGCACATCACCGCGACTTACGGAGGCAGCTCAGCGAATGACGATGCCGAAACATATGTTTAGACCCAAAAACGCAGTCTGAGTTGTGACATTAAGCAATGCAAGCGTGACGTTTTGCACTGCTTAATGTCACAACTCAGACTGCGTTTTTTTTTTTTTTTTATCTAAACATATGTTTGGGCATCGTCATTCGCTGAACTGCCTCCTTAAGTTTCGGTAATTGACTCTTCGAGTCTTTTATGAGAACGTAGACGCACGGGCTTTTTTCAGAGTGTAGGGTTTGTGTTTTATGTGATGCTTCCTCGCTTATGTATGCACACATAGCCCAGGTACATTTTCCATAACCCTGCATCTAACATAACTCTGAAGCAGCTGATCACAAATATAGAATCCGAATTAAGAAAATTTACTTGCATGCTAATTTCATGCAATCATTTAATACACACACAGTAAAATATGTGGATATATCTTCCTTTAGTTTGCGTTACATGCTTAAGGCATAGGGTGTTTCACCGGTTAAGACTCTCACTAATGTCTTTATTGTAAAAATATTGATACAGAGATGTCTCGTTAATATAGACACCTTCGTTCCCGTAAAATGTGAGTTCTCCGTAATAACGAGACAAAAATGCATGTATTTTCCCAGTTTGTCTTTGAAAGTGTTGTCGATATAGCCAGGTGTCTATATGGACGGGGTCCACATTACCGAGGCATAACTATATACCTAAAATTATTTTTTGGGTTAAAAAGTAAAAACTGCGTAAATGACAAAAATATCTGCTTCCTTTTTTTTCTTTTTTAGAGGCATTACGTACAGTGTATGTTTACCATTTGTTACTCTTGTATTATTATTTAAACATTTATGACACTCTGGTGTATATATATATGTGTGATGTATGTTTCTGCTGTATTCGTTGTTTTAGTTACAAATGTGTTTTCTTACTAACCTATTTTGAACACATGTGATTGTATAAGTAGGATATGTTAATTTGGTCATACTTGCGTTCTTGCTTTATTATTTCGTGTCTGTGCATTTGCAGGGTTGTATACCGAGAGCCGGTCAAGGCCTTGTTAGGTACCCACGTGTTTTGCCCTCAAATCGCTTTCTGATAGAAAAAAAAAAAAGAAACACCGACACATGTAAAAGAAAAATATAACAGTGAAAAAAATTAAAAAGTCATTGATACTACATTTTTCTTGATCCGGTTGTTCGGAATCATGTTTGACGCGCTTCTCTTCAACTCCATGTATCTTCCTCAGCTATTCATCAGATTCCTTTTTTCATGCTAATCGCAGTGCCTCCGAGGATCGACGACGAAAACACAAGTTCGGACGTCGAAGTGCGGGAAAACAGTGACGTGTCTCTGCGCTGCCGCGCCACGGGAACTCCAGAACCGGACATCAAATGGAGAAGAGAAGACGACGCGCTGATCCTCCTCTCTGGAAAGAAAGGTTGGTTCACGCTTGGATGACGTAAAGGCGCGTTCATCCTTGCCAGTCGCCGCGGTTGCGCGACACCTTTTTTGATCGCCGAGCGGTGGCCGCCGTCGCAAGACCGACCGGTTTAAAACAATCTCTCCCTGACCAATTTCTTTTTTTTTTTATCCCGGTCGCTGAGTCGCTGACGCAAGTGTAACTTGTCTCGGCGTGACGTGGCACAAAAGACGGCCTGTGTCGATGTCGCGAGGCTAAGTTTGTTAATGAAAAGAAGCGAAATGTCTACCATAGCTTAATTTCCTTCGCGTCCATACCTTTTTTCTATCGCCCTCGATTTTTTTTTTTTTTTTTTTGGGGGGGGGGGGGGATTTTGTTTTGAAAACGTTCAATGTCGAGCCATCTCACCATTACATGAAACAAAAAAAAACTGCTTAACGAATAAACGCTTTAACGCTACGCATCTGTCAGTTTAACCCGATTACGAGACTTGCACTTCCAACGTCCAAGTTTTCGCTAGTAAAACTAGAACTACCGACAGTGTGATCAAAATCTTCGTGAACAAAAAGCAAGTGAATAAAATTATGAGCTAAACGAATCATACTCAACTCGGTATAAACAACAACAACAACATAAAAGCAAATGTACGTTACTCTTGAGATCTAAACTAAACTGTTGCTAAAAGCCTACGTCCACGCAGGCCCACACGCGCACACAAGGCCATACTCCACGCTGCAGAAGAAGCCTTCGTATGCCCCAGTCCTCTCTCTCTCTCTCTCTCTCTCTCTCTCTCTCTCTCTCTCTCGGATGCCCTACACTTTGCACACATCCCACATTTCCGGGAAACACGTGAGCGAGCGAGGTGAAGTCATCTTACTTTCACCCGAGCCTTTACGGCGACGCCTTACGCCCACTTAAGAATTCCAAAAAAGTCCGGAACATCGTCTCGATCCTGTCACCAAGTGGCGTCGCAGTCTCCAACGAAGAGAGAAACGACAGAACCGGACACGAGGATAAAAACGGATTAAAATGTTTACAACGTGCACCCCAAACTTTCTCCGGCCCCACGCGTCCAAAGAAGGAAGTGCCCTACCAAAGAAATAACACCACTGGAAACAAGGGGACAAAAACAAAGTAAAACTCACGCTCACCACCACATCAGGCCCCTAAGATAGGACACATACAAAAAAAAATGATTCGTTAAAAGAATGAAAAAAAAAAAAAAAGCGTCGCCATCCATTTCGTAACGAGACGAAGGGAGGCCAGGGTAGTGCGCGCCATAAACGAGGCCCACGAGCATGCAAACAGCGGCATTACAAAGGGGGCGGGAAGGGGAAGAAGACTCGTTTTCAAAATTGAAGTTCCGTGGGACAGTCCTAAGTGAAAGTTACGACGTCGTCAAAGGAAGGGAGGACCGACGATGCGACGCTGGTGCGGACCGGGCGCGTACGTATACGTCTTGCCACAGCGGCAGACGCTGCATCGACTCGGGTGACTCGGCGGACCCTTTGAAAGTCTTAAGTCGATTCTGGGAAGGCGGAGACGGCGTTACGGGACGGAACGCTCGAGTTGGATGCGATGTGCGATATCTGGAGTCGTTCTTAAGAGAGGAGCTGGACATCAGAGGTGGTCCCAGTGTTGCCGGCTAATGCTAGCACACACCAGACTTGTAGGTATAGAGAATCACAAGTGAATGTTATATGTATGTACATGTTACCTTTTGGTAACAAAGTAACGACCCAGTTACTTTTTATCAAGGTAGGAACCAGTAACTTATTGTAGTCACTTTTTAATGAAGTAAGGAGTAACGCTATTTGGTTACCTGTGCAAAGGAACGAGTGCCCAAACTAGCTTTCAACCGAGCTCGCGCCTGCAATTTACATGACGAGAAAACGATAGACCGCAAAACGACGCCCACAAGGTATGTCAGTATGGCCATATGTGCCCTTAAGGAACGCGTTACAACAGCAAACAAATTATGAACGGCGACAAACACTGGAAGCGACTACTGCTTCATAAAAAAGACAGGTTCAAAGTAACGATACAATAACCCGGTACATTCAAGCCGGTTTAACAGGTTACATTTGAATCGCAGTATCGAGTAACATACCTCGTTAGTTTCACAGTGGACTTTACGTGCAGCGGTATTCAGTTACTTTATTTCAGTACCGCGCGAATGTCTGGTGTCGACCGCTTTCGAATGTAAACGCCCGCGGCCGTCAACTGTGGGATCTCAGCACAATGGCGAACACGAGACGACACCTACACACAGATCAAAACCGCACTACCACGTCGCACTTTCAGCGTTTGGCCATGTTAGAAGGCAACGAGACACCCGAACAAAAAGCGATGAACAGCAATGACGTTGCGCCTGTTTTCGATTGGCTCTCGGTTTTCTAACCCTGCCTACTAGCTACTACTACTAGCTAGCTACTACACTCCGACGTACGTACGTAATGACTGGCACGTTTCGAGGTGTGGGCTCTTCCGCCATTGTACAGGGGTTACAACCTTCTAAGCCTCAGCACGTGGCTTTCGAACGGGCTCTTTTTTGGTTCGTCTAAGAGGAGTTTCCTTAAGCAAATAGTGAGTATGATCTGGGGACTCCTGGTACGCCCGGACAAGCGTTACCTCACCCGGAATCTGCCTAAAGTTATCTTTCTGTTTGTTTTGTTGTTGATTTACTTTACTTTAAAGATATCCTTTCCCACGCAGAGTTTTTCTACAGTCAGTGAAAACTTAACAAACGCAGGACGTGGGTCATTGTGTTCACCGATTTTGTTCCGTAATTCGTTTTATGAATGTTTTTGTTGTTTTTCTTTACGAAAACCGAAATCTTTTTGGCTGCAGAGCGATAGCAAAATACACCACTGCCGGCGTTTCTGAAATTCTTGGTAAATATAATATTTGAAATGTTTAGTATTGCCGTGGGCTTGATTGTGATTACAACGTTTATTAGAGGTCTGTACTGTTTACAACATTTGCGAAGATTGTCTGCGCTTTCAAAGCAAACAAAAACAGTGCAAATGCGAAACTAATTCGGGAGCTGCGACTAACTTGGAGCTCGAATGGTGTTCCTTCTGCTTTGCCGCTTTTAACAATGACGGATTCCTGCCGCCGATTCGACATTAATCATCTCTTTTTTAACATTGGAAGTCTGTTTTTGTGCAAAGTAAAATTGAAGTTGTCTTGTTTTACGGTGCTTCATTGTATTTAAAGTTTAAGATAGAAAATGCGAACACATAAGAAACTCAATATTAAATTATTTTCAACTTTGCGTGTTTCACGTTGCGCGCTACGATTACTACTACCATGCGGCATTACTTTAGAAAAGCATCCAAACCTAGCTAACCTTTATGGATGTACTTCGTAAGGTGCACACCAGAGATCTCATTTTTTGATGCATCATATCTGTATGTTTTAGCTCAATGATTTTTATTGCCGAACATTCGTGCCAGATATCATATAATATAAACTTGAAAACTTTCCCCGCAAAAAATATTACAAACTTGTCTAGCTTGATACATTCAAGAATGCAACTCACGATCAACGAGCCAGATCAATCTATAAAAATATATTTTATGTGTGTCATTAATACTTCTCCATTAAATTTGAGCCACTGCATGATTACGACTTTGCTTGTCTCTTTTTTTTTTATTGTGTGTGAATGATTTTTTTCTATACGTATGATAACGTACCACTTTTTAGGCTTAGAGTTGTTTGTGAAGTCGTCAAAATGAAGACCAATAATAAACATTACGAGTATTAATATAGTACCATAGCGCACGAAATAACATCACATAACCGTCACCTATTATTGCGATCGGCACAAAGTACAACTACCTAAAGGACCTAAACTGTAAACTACGTTCACCCCAGGTTGAGCACCACCCTCGTACGGAGAAACCAACACGCAATTAGCTCGGGGAAAACAAAGGCCCCCAACCCTTCAAATTCCCGAAAAGCATTCGGTCGCAGACCCTCGGAAACTGCGAATTAGAATAGCCATTGAGTTCAGGCGCTCCGGCATCGCGTGGATCGGCTGCAGTTGACGGCCAATGGTCGGAATCGTCGAGGCAATTGGGGTCGGCCGGACTTCCGGATTTGAAAAGGGAGAAAAAAAACTTCGGAGATTAAATGAGTTCACAAAACCTTTTACTGGCACAGCCTTGTCTCGTAGTACTAGGTTGGACGGCGTCCTCCTTTTTAAGTTTGTTTTTCTTGTTCGTTTTAGTAATTAAGCCGTTATGACAATACAAAACACACGACATTTTGGCTTGCATTATTCTTAAATTTGGACATCAAACTGACGACATCATACTTTTTGCAGGCCAACACAAAATGTCCACGTTGTATAAAAAAAATAAAAAACTGGAAGATATCTAAATATACTTAACTTTCTGCGATAACAAAAAACAACAGTGTAATCACACCGATGGACGTGTTTAAATACGGAAACTAACTAAGAAGTATTTATGATATTTCTTAAGAAGCCTCAATCCACGCAGTCTCCTAATTAAGTGATAAATAAACTTATGCAAACAATTATTACCTAGACAACATGGAAAAAACTAAGTATCTATTTCTACCTCGATGTTAAACAAATGCGCTTGCCTTTTCTGTGTAAGGTGATTGTGCCTGTATTTTCCACAATTTGTTTATTACGTCACCATTTCAAAATAGTGAACGCGTGATTCATTCATTTTTTTTTAAATTATGATTTGTAGCATTATTTCTTCCGAAAGTGGTGAATTTTAAGAATTGTTTTGAACTATAATTATGTGCACCATTCAAAAGAAAGTGGCATGTCTGGGCGTAATACACCCTTAGTGACGGGTTTGCAAATCCCTTTTCGCTGAAACACATTTATTTATCCCAAACGGCACATTGACAAGAACCTATATATACACATTTGAGTGTTACCGTAAAACAATAAATAGTCGAAGAAAGGGTAAAAGCACAGGCGAGCTGGTGAAGAACTTCCATAACCGGTGGTGTATATATAAGAGCGGAGATGTTCAAATAAACTAGAAGCTGTGTTTGAGACTTGCTGTTGTTTTGTCCGTTTTTTTTTTATTTTTCCGTGTCTCCGGTTTACGATGGAAATAAATAGTCGATTATTGTCTTTGCGTAGTTCGACAAAAAAGTTCCTACCACGACATACCTCGGTGCACTCAAACATTTATGTAACCCGCTGTAAGTAGCGCGTTGCATGTTGCTCGCAACTTTTTAGGCAATTAAGTAAAAACATCGTGGCGAATAGAAACGGGTAGAAAATTTTACTTACCTTTTGGCCGAGTAGAGTAACGGTATTTCGTCACCTAATTAAAAAACGTGTCAGAAACTAACTTTGTGTCTAGATAAACTCCTGCTTCGCGATTAGAAGGCCCCACTGAACTCAAGGAAATATACTTATATAATGAAACAGTGAAGCCACACTCATTGTTAGATGCTTGAAGTCCGTCGCACCGTTCTTAATAATTGACGCTTGAAAGCGCAAAAGCAATTAAGATAAGTACGTTCTGTTGCGTTGAACTTTTGCGCTCTTGTTTTTCTCTTTGTAGCCCATCCGTCTTGTCCCGCGCCTCGTCAACGCCAACTTTACTTTAATACGAAAAGTAAAGATAAAAGTACCGCGTAACTCGTGAAGTAAAGTAGGGCGTTCAATTCTGAGAATCGGTAACGAATAACCTATATAGATGTTATTTAATCAAGTGACGAGTGACCCTACCCAGTTTCTTTGTTCAGCAACATGCACAATACGCGACACTGTTAGCGCGAACACGAAATCGTCGCTTTCCTGCATTCTGCTCAAAGAAAGTGTAGATGGGCTCTAAACCGTACAACTTACTTTATTACCATAGGCGACAACTTCTCTCTACACTGATAGTTTTATTTTTTTCGGACAGCGTTTCACTTATAAGAAAAGAAATATAACCGGCAATCGCTTGTCCCTGCTAACAGTGTGCCGTCGTGTTACACCGCAATTTGACAGCCAAAATCAAAGACCGTCGACGTTGGCCTAGTTTTGCTCCCTTTCCTAGCATGCTCCTCGGTTACAACATCGCAATCAAAGTTCCGCCAGAGTGTGAAACAATTGACTTTCCTCTACGTCATTCCGTAGGTGTGCCCAGTTACCAAGGAGATCGCCTCAACATGAGCAAGGTGACACGGCTGCACATGGGGCCGTACCTCTGCATTGCTTCCAACGGTGTTCAGCCGTCGGTCAGCAAACGAATTCTGCTCAAGGTCGACTGTGAGTGCCGTCTTACTCTTCTCGTGAATGCGCCAAAGAGGTCGTACATTTCATTAATATATCATTTCAAGAAGTATTCACAGTGTTATGTTAAGAACGGGCGTGATCAGTGGGCTCTAGCAATACCGCCGGTACTACTTGCACTCTATACTTCATTTAATACTTAGTGTGCACGCGTTGTTCAGGCTGCTGGAGCGAGCGCGCAGCTGGATCTCGTGGTTCATTTGTGAGTGCTTCCTCGCAAATAAGACGCTGGATCAAGCCACGCGCTCGTGCTAAGAGTTTTCACAGTATTGCGCACTAAGTATGCGCCGGGAGTATTTATGTGACGTTTTCGGTAAAAACAGCTCATGCTTCGGCCGAACTCAGCGTTCAAGTAAAGGAGAGCACTGTTTCTAAGCAACTTTATTCATAAAACTTAATTTATAACACCATTCATACGCAAGTGTCTTGTAACCTCTTAATTGTAATAATTGTTTTCTCGCAAAGATTTCTAAACGTTATCTTGTCATTCTCAAAGCAGTAAACCCTGCCATAAAAACCTGAAAACAAAAAATAGAAAACCAAGGCCAGCATCAGAGGACTCATAGCGGAAATTCTCAGAAACATTGCTCTATGCCATTTACGGGGGAAAAAGAACTTCAGCACGCCTTATGAAAAATTGTCGTTCTGCATTCTCAAATCAGGGGAGCAACAAAAAGTTTTATTTTTGGAAACAAAAACTGCCTTCAATAGTAGAATTACAGACAAACCTTAAAATAATGTAATCGCATATCATTGTTGCCATGTTCACTCCGTAGCTTCCGTCTTCCCGGCCCGCTCCATCACATGGTCGTCTACAGTCCCTTTATACACAGTCCTTTGGGGTAGTGGTACTCGCAGGCCGAGTGGTGCCCTTTGGTTTCCATAACTTAAGGCCTCTTCTCGAGGCCAACCGCTTCAAACCCCTCTGCCAGCTCCGCACTCCGCTTTTCACCCGCGATGCTCTATAAATAAAGTTGCTCTTCATCTTAAGACAAATGTCGCTACGTTTTGGTTTTCTTTCTTACTGCTGCCTGTTAGGTATTTTGGTTTTCCTCCTTTTTATTGCAATAGCGTTAAGAAGCTCGTGTCGCAAAAAATCTGGCCTCGGTGTCGTGGCAAAAAAAGCCAGTGTTGGTGGCGTGACGCGAAAATTCTGGTTGGTCAATAAGGTCATGACCTCACAGCCACATGACCTCGCGCGGTAATTTCATAAAACCCACTAGGTTCACTGAAACGTTACGTCACGCGTCGAATGAAAGTGGTTGAAAAAACATGACATGTGATGCGAGTCAAAGGTCGCCAATCTCTCAAATGATATGAATTTTTCACTAATTTATTTGCCTTAAAAAATGTGAACAACTTTAGGAGTGATTCGAAAACCACGACCCTTCGGTTGCGAGCCAGACACGCTACTGACAAGGTCATGTCCGCTGCACTTTCTGCTCACTGGCAGGAAGCGCATGGGAAGTGAATGAATGATAAGGCGATGTTAACTAAACGCGAAGTTTAAGCGTCCTCCCAGCTTTCTAACAGTTGCAAGACACTTTTTTGTATTCTATTACCGCACAATCTCGCAGGCTTAGTAGGTAAAAATGTCTACGGAGTGTTTGGAAGAAATAATAACTGTTTTTTGCCCGCGCATATAAACTACGCATCGCAAGTAACGGGAATTTTGTGAAAGTGTGGCGCTATCGTGGGTGATAAAACGCAAAATCTTGCAAACATAACGTTATACGGATCACAAAATAGGAAAGGGAGATTAAACATTTCCATTGGCCTACGGCTACCTAAACTTAATATCGTCATAACAGGAACTCACATTGTGAATTTATTAATATAATTAAAATCAGCGAAAAACAGTTATCAGCAATAAAAACGCAAAGTCGTCTTTCTGGCTGACAAGGATTCTTTCACTGAAATGCTACAGAAGACTACAATCTCATTCCTTGCTTTTTGGCAATTTTAGACATAGTTCAATGTCAACTCATCTAAGCAAATTAGTCTTTCCCTTTTATATTTAGATCCAGGTAACGTCGAATTCTCAAATTTTCGTATTCTCTCGCCACCACTAGCATAGTACTCTTACAAAGTTTCAGCCTTTTGCGATGCGTAGTGCATTTACGCGGACCAAAAAACATGTTTGCTTTTCGTTTTCTCAAAATCCCGCTATATGCCTCGCACGCCCTACAACTCAAATTACAGCTTTCTGATGTTGTTTTTTGCAAGCGCAGTCGCGCCCATGATGTGGCAGCCCAACCAGCTCGTCGGAGCCCCTTTGGGCACTGACATCACCCTGGAATGTAACCTGGAGACACACCCGCGTGGGATGACCTTCTGGGAGCGGGAGGACGGCACCATGCTCATCTCCAACACCAAGTACGACTCCCTGGTGCTGGAGACCGGTCCTTACAGGCTCCTGCTCAGGCTCACAATTCGCAACCTCAAGCCGGACGACTTCGGTGTCTACAAGTGCGTCTCCAAGAACCCTCTCGGAGAGACAGAGGCCAACATTAAGTTGCAAGGTGGGAACGGTCGTACAGTAGGGAACGAATCACCCGTCGCTTTCAATCAGCTCACGCAAAATTCTATCGTGCAAAAAGTTCCTTCGAAAAAAAAAAAAAGGGGGGGGGGGGAATGCAACTCCGAAATTAAAGCAAATTTGACGTTTCTATTTGTGCAGCGTAAGGTCGATCTTTTTTTTAGGTGATGCGACTTTGGTTTACACTGTCAATGAGAAATTCAGCCAGCGCAGTACGGCCTCTAGCCTGGGGGTCTTCAACGTGCGTCACGCAGTAGTGATACACGACCACCCGCTGATATATGATGCTCATTCATATCGAAACGGGCAGGGGTGGGGATTGAACCCAGGATCCCTGGGCTCTGCAGCGCGAGCTCTCGCTCCACCTGCTCCGAGCTGCGATGCGCTAGCGCACTTCGTCACCCAATCACCGTTTCCGTTTATCACCGAAACCGGGAGAGCATTACGGTCCATCTCATTCCTTAATGTAAAAGAACGACTGGCGCAGAGGTATTGCTGTACGGTTACCGTCATGCCGTAACAGGGCCGGGAAAGTACCGCGAAGAAGGTATTTTAACCAACCGTTACCCTATCCGCAATGCTGGAAACCAAGCAACCAAAAAAAAGTTGTATTGAATAGTAGCGCTCTACATTTGCAGTACGTTGCCGGACCGGTTTCACCAGAGCGAGTACGGTAAAGGCTGCTACAAAAACGGTGTGCAAAAATGTTCTAACGATGATAATTATGCCCGAGCTATGTCACAGACGAGGCCAGAAAATGCCATGATGTATGATGTATCACTGACTTCAGGGTAACTTTTTTGGTACCTTTGACTAGAAATTGTGAGGGCGGATTAAATAAATTATTTTTATGATACAAAGCATTGACATTATTGTTGCTGATTGTTGCGCAGTATTCGGCTTCCAAACTATCTTCTAAATTTATAGCGAGTTAAACATGAAATGTTGTTTGGAAACACACTGATGTGAGTGGCATACTGACGTAAGAATTTAAGAAATAAATATTCCTACCACAACTTAATAATAACAAGATTAGTATTAAAAATTAAGTTATTCAATTTAATTTTTTTTTCTCCCGTGTTTTTTAGGCTTGCGTTTAGAGAGCAGCTCTTAGCCACTCGTTTCCGGGTTGAGCGGCGTTGGCGTCGTCGTCGGTGTCGCCGTAACCGCGTGCGTTGAATTATGGGACGTCCCAGTTTCCCCGCTAAATTTAGTGGGCAAACTATACTTGTGTTCAGATCATGTGACGTTAATTTCCCCACTAAATTTAGCGGGAAAACTTAATTCGCTAAATTTAGTGGGAAACGTTTCCGCTAAATTTAGCGGGAAATTTTTCCGCTAAATTTAGCAAAAGTTTTACGCCAAATGGGACCGGAGGAGGAGAGTAGGAGGAGAGGGTACGAAGGGGGGAGGAGGGGCATATCCTCCCCTCCGTACCCTCCCCTCCTCGTCCTCAGAGCTGCGTTCTAATTTCGCATTACAAAAAAAAAATATTTACGTCTTTATTTTTTCTTCCCGTTTTACTCACAATGAAAAAAACCTTTGTTGTCTATTATTAATTATGGCACCGTTCCCGCAATTTTTAGTAGTGCAGGGCATTGTAGACACGCCGTTAAGATACACCTTTTATAATTCGAAACTCATTTTTAAGCGTTGTAGTTTTTTAATATATTTTATACAAATAATGGGGACAAAACGACAACGTAAACCTCGAGACTTTAAGAGCTGGACGTATCGAACTGAAATTATATAAGTACTGATTGTATATAAACAAAACTTTTAAATGTAACGCAGTGGGTGGGCTACCAGGAACAGCTAAAGTCAGCCTCATTTACAACTCGAAACCGAAATACACATATCTATTTTGTTATTATTTTGTGCATAATAATTTTTTTCGCGTTTTTTTTTGCGAACTGTGGTTCACTCTTGTATAACGATTCCCGTCTTTCAAACATGTAATAAAATGCACCCGAACTATTTATGTTACAGTTCCGACACCATTTACACCATTTAGCGTGAACACGCATGTTGTATGGGACACAAAAATAAGTAAGTTTTGGAAACAACCCTCGTTGATCTACTATTTCAGAAATTCCTCGCCCAACATCCTCCACGGCCGCATCCTCAAGAGAGCTACAAGCAAAAAAGCACTGGGAAACTACCTGTAAGTTTGTTAAAACCAAAAATCCTCTGCATTTCTTTGACAATCCCGAAATTCATTCCTCTAAATCATAGCAAGACTGATCCTTCTTTTTTGAGAACGAAACATTATCTATATGTCTAATTAACTTAGAACTTAATTCTGAGTTGTGTCACCAACTTAGGCGGGAGTGTAGTAATGAGCCCAGACCTCTGTTTCGGCAAGCATATTCATTTTTCTACAAAGAACCAATATTTCGCAAACACTGGGCTTACTACAAAAGATAAGTCCTCCTGAACCGACACCTGCTTTCTGCCGATAGCGGCCCGCTGCACACCCACGCTTGGGGTATAAAGGTTTTTCCCAACTTTCTTTGGTCGTTTAACTTCCTTTCGCAGAAAAATAAAGAAATATCCGTTATTTTTATTACATCCTTAAAAGCGCAATTCTAAGGATCACTTTCCTGCAAGCGTTGTTCTTTTTGGCTCTGGTATGCTTCCAGAATTTCGGGAAGTTTTGACAGGAGGTTTTCAGACTGACACAACTTGCCGGATTGTGATTCATTAAAGCCATGAACCATTCAACTTCCCGTATGAATAAAATAGTTAGTAAATAGTATACATCTTTCCAGTAAATAATAAAAAAATTGCTTTGAGAAAACATGACGACGTCTCGACGGCCATGTATGAGAAGATAACATTTTCATCATTTACGCATATAAAATGCCACAGATACACGACATACAGGATCGAAAATGAAATTCGTTGGCCAGTAAATGTGAACATTAATACTGAGTTAAGGTACGTTTAAGCTATGATAGTACGCACATACAGCCACTTAATTTACACTTTATATCCGGTGCCAGCTTTTAAATGAAAGCCCCACCTTTATTTTCAGCCACGCAGCAATCGAATGGACCCAGACATCTTGGCACCCATGCCTCCAATGCTCTTTTGAAAGAAGGTAACGCAATCTTCAAAATTTCAGCTGGAAACACGTTGTTATGATGATTTATGTTGTAAGATATGTTTTTGTGCTGCTTTATGTGTCACGTTTTTCTACTTATTTTATGCTTTTTTTTTCACGCCGTGTATTTATTTTAAACTCCCAGTTGCAATATTATTATTATGTACAAGACATTTAGAAACGCTCCTCTTAATATAGTTTTTCAAGTAGCCACCTCGTTTAGTAAGCCGAACATGTTCAAAGGAACAGGCATTTCTCGACCGAGTCAAAATTTCTACTAAAATTTAGTTAAAAGTTTATTTTTAGTTTAACATGTAAAGGTGTATAATTAACTCTGAAAATACCATAAAAATATTGGCATTTGAGACATTAAAGATTAACCCACATTAATATTTTTGTTGGATAAGAAGAAAAGCAACTAACATCCATTATATCAGTATTGAAACAAAATAATATATTTAGAGACTATTCCCGCCGGAGAGAATTTCAAAAAACCCTACACAACCCTCTGATTTCTTGTCTTTATTTTTTTTTTACAAATGATAATAAAATTATTTAAATACAAAATCGTAAATTGCCGTTAATTTACAAAAATGTGACGAGAAGAAAAGTGTTAGCATATATGTAAATTTATTTACACAATAAAGCAAAGTGCGGACAAGACAGTTTTTGTAATATTTTAATCGTCAACGTCAAGTCACTTGACGACTGCTCTTAAATTTGGGAGTTTGTTCCCGTTCAACTGCACTGATATATGTGTCCGCTCTAGAGAGGTGGATTTATTCAATAAAGCTCAACTGACAGCCAGGATTCCCTAGTATTCATCATCCGGTATTCTTAAATTACGATAACACGAGGCAAATCAATAATTATATGAAGAATGCAAGAGTCGCTAGAGCTACACAAAGTAACCGAAAGGTTTTTCCTCGCATTTCTTAAGGACGCAGAGGGGACTACTCCACGGAAGGAGAGGGTACCCAGGGTTACCCACCACCAAGCTTTAACCAAGACTACACCGAAGCAGGTGAATTCTTCTGTCGGTTGTTGAAAATCCTGGCCAACTCACCTCGAAAATAATTTGCCATTTCTGAAGCAACGTTGGCTCCTCCTACCAAACTTTCAACGCCATTACATCGAATGGATTACTTGTTCGAACTTTGCTTCTGGCTTTGACATGCAAGAACCCGTAAGATATTTCACCAATATGGTGCGTTTTTTGTGCTCTCGGAAAATATCATAATCCCAAATTTATATGTAACGTTTTTAGCTCTACCGTAGTAAGGGTTTTAATCCTTCTATGATGCAAAATTAGTCATAAAATAATCTCAGTCCTAAGGTGTTTCACGTATGGATGCGTCTCGACTACGTGGCATCTAAAAACTACAAAGACTACGAAGCTCTCTTTAGCAGACTTATTCAATTAGAACGTATCAATGTAAACTGTAACCTAATATAAAAAACACCCTATCCAATTGCAAAAGTGCATCAGAAGGTGAAAAAAAATGTTCCATCAAATTTTATTTAAGTTTTAATTTGTGTCACACCCGAAGACTAGCATCAGGCTTAGTAATAAAATAAAAGGAGGCTGGTAATTGCCTACATGTGGTATTATAGACATTTGCAAAGATTACCTTCTGCACGCTGCCATCTTTGTCTCCTGGGCTGTGGAACGCCTTTTGAGCATGCGCTGTTGCTTTGCTGTGCGGTATGTCAGACGCTGCGCATGCATCCACAGCTCAGTGACTCAGCATTTTTCACCGGGGTGTTAAGCGATGCAAACGTCTATACTCCGTTTCACTTTAAGACCAACCTCGGTCCACACTACAATCGGACTGAGCCAATAAAAAAGCGGCAAAAATATGCATCGTCATGGCGCTCGTCATTTTGTACGTTCGCCGTGGAATTCCTATAGACGTTTGCAAGTGCGGCCCCTGGGCGCTGCCATCTTACTGCTGGTGTGAATGCAGACCTTCTAACAGTCAAGCCTTGCTGAGGGCGTGTCCGCGCTCTTAGCAATACTTGACTATCAGACGATCTATAGCCTCACCACCAGCAAGATGGCGGCGCCCAGGGGTCGTACTTGCGAACGTCTATAGCGAAGCAGGATATTCTAGCTCTTCTGCGAACTGTTCGAAAAAAAAAAAGAAATAAAAGAAGTCTGGCAGCGATTCCGCGAAGTCTTGACAAATCGTCGGTGGGACAGCGAGAGAAAGTTTCGCGATAACCTGCGAACACATTTCGAGATTAGGAGTGGGTTGCGGACGACGCTCCATTTGTCCCACTTTATTTGCATATAATATAGACCGACCATGCTTACGTCATCTGGCGCATTCGGAGCTATTCTCATTCGTTTCCATGTACTGATTACGTGAGCGGTACCGTGCAACCGGAGATTCGAGATTTAAGAGCAAATGCATTCAATGCTTGAAATCGATATGCTGCTTCAAGCTATACGTTGGTCAACGACCGGCACTTAGAAAACACGCACCGCGTATATTTGTAGCGGTTACGAGTAATGTATCCTGTATAATATATCGACATCACTGGCTCGTTTATTGACTGCGTTGTCAGGCCTTACGGAGTTATGAATGAGACGGGGTAGGTATAGACAAACTAAAAAAGAAATGTAGTATGGCATTCGTACTTGTAATGGGGCTTTTGGGAGGCATGAGTGTCCGTGGATGCTGTCCTAATTCGAAACGCTTCCAGTTCAAAGACTAGGTTACATAATTATGCGAACCCGTAAAGCACGCGCTCACTTGAAAATAAGAATAGATAATTGAATTGTTTTGTGTACCGCATATTCTTTTTTTTCCTCAAAAGCGGGGATCAAATATGCCTTGTCTGAGAGTTAAATATATTTCTACGCAAAGATGCGTACACAATATACGCAAACAAGCAATGGTCCAGTTTGGTGTGGGAAATATCGGTCATCTCTGAGATACGCGAGCTGAAAAGTTTTAACAATATTTTTTCAAGAGAAGTTAAAATCATTAATTTGCTATTGTTTTTTCGGAACGTAGTATAAATGATTAGTTTTTTTTCAACTGCAACTCTCGTTGATCGCTCAGTTACCTGCAATACGAGCAATTGTTGCATATAATTCTAATATGTTTCTCCCGATGATTTTTGGTGTCAACATTTATTTCCATTCATATTGTAAAGAATTCAGCAGGCAAAAGTATTCGACAGTAAGGCTATAATAATATTTAACATTGCAGTGCTTCTGTCATCATTCTTGGTTCGCGTCGTTTTAATCGTGTTCATTGGTATAGTGCAGTCGAAGGAAGTAACACCTCTTTTCAATGCGCTGAATTTGTGCTTAAGTATGACACAAAATGGCTAAAGTAAAAAATTGTTAACACCCTAATTTTGTGTATAATCTCAGAATGACCCAAAATTGTTCTTTCTACTCAGCTTGTATACATATTTATATACGAGGACTTGCGTCAGGTCGAAACGTCGAATAAACCTTCCTGGTTTGATTTCCACCGTTACCCTTCATCTATATACACTATATATATATATATATACGCTTTAGCGTGTATGTTAGTTTTGTCTTGTTCGCAAATACACGCGCATATATGCGAACTGAGTAATGTGTAATATTTGCCCGCTAAATTTAGTTGTTTACTCCTTTAACGCTTCACCTTAACTTGACGTTGCACCCCAAAACATGAGCCCTATAACAGATTCTGCGACAAAACAGCATTATTGTTGGCAAATTCCGAAGTTAAGTCGAACTAAACAGTGACTGGTGCAAACTTATAACGCGACTGGAAGAAATAAAAAGGGAAATGCCATAAACTAGAATAAAAATATTAATTTAAAACCTCAAATAACTTTGTTGTTTGTCTACCACTCGGTGTAACAAAAAAACTTACTAGAAAACGAAATGGAGAAAATGTTTACGTTTTGAACGTCACCGCCAGTGCTTCTTAGCTAATAATGTTTCTTAGTTCTCAAAACGTTTACCCTAGGGAGGAACCATCAAAAAATAATACAAACACTCATGTGTTCCTCGCTATCATATTATATTTTACAAGAGTGCATCACACTACGACAGTGTAGAGATGTTTGCAAGCGGCCGCGCTTCGAGAGCTAATCTGGCCACCGTAAACGAAAAACGAAAAACGATCAGACCCGTACAAATTATGGAACACAAACAATGCAATATCAAGTCAGTAAAGCTCTGAATAACATTAAAGACCACATAAATTTTAATAACAATTTTAGTAAATTTAAAAGGGATCTCGGACACTCATGGTGGGCAGTGATAACCCCTTATTATTTGAATTTGTATGTAATAACTAGTTGTTTTTCTGGTATATTCAAAAAATTAATATAATGTTTAATACTAAGAGTTAACTTTGTAAACTGTGTGCTGCTGGAAAGCGCTGCTTTGGGGACAGAGACCTTTGTCAGGCTTTGAGCATTTAGTCCCTGTCTCCATTTCGGTTGATTCCGGAAAAATAAACATTCATTCATTCATTCATTCATTCATTTGTTTGGGCGTCATTCTGGAAACTATGGTTACGCCTCAGCAATGTTCGACTATCAGACGATCCACCCACACCCGTGGCAAGATGGCAGCTCCCGGAAGACGTGTACTTGCAAACATCTATAGTTTGAGACCTGTCTGTTTTTTCTGTTTCTTCTGCTCTTCAAAAAAAAACCCCAGTCTCAGGGTAAACGACGAAATGGTTGACTTCCACCAGCTAGCCTGTACTTTGACTCTTTTCTCGTTAATCTATAGAATGATTGTATTACAAATTTCGCTACTGATCAACCCGAAAGAGTAAAACTATGATAAACTATAAGCTCGCTCCAGTAGTTTCGCATAAATGCTCAGTGACTATATATAATTTTAGTTTTATGAATTATAAAAACATTCTGCTCTAAAGAGTAACTTCCTTACAAAATAAGGGTCATAATTTTAGATAGTCATAATATAGATATTATACTAAAAAACATCACAAATGTCGGCATTCAAAATAATATTTTTTTTTTAGTTATCTTCACTGCCGCCTGATTAGCCAGAGTCGAAACTTAAATTTTGTATTCACAAAATAATGCTTGCATGCTTTTTCAATCAGATGCCGCCAACAATGAGGTACACCAGGGAGGCTCCTCCGCGAAAAGGCATCAGGCAAGCTTACCCAAGATGGCGGCAATCGTACTTCCGCTCCTGCTCAGCTACACTACCGGAAGTGCTGCGGCCCTCGTCCGAAACTGAACGCTACGCCGGACAAGAAAGATCAGCCTCGACAAATGCTTTAAGCCACACAAAAGCAAACAAAAATGAACCAGAAAAAAGAGCTTCCTTCTTATTGGATGAGGACGTCGCCAAAACCAGACCGACATCAACGCCCAAAGTGAACAGCACTTGGACACTTTTTTTCTTCAAAGCTCTAAGTGCAGTGTGCTTCGGTGTTTCGCTTTTTTCTGTGACGCCGGCGAACAGCTGCCACGTTGGTGCGCATCACGCGGAGATGATTGGACCTCAAACTGACGACACCATGACACCAAATGACGTCACTTCCTGACCGGAAACCACGTGCCAACTGTGTTTACCTTACCGTTAATGAAGCCATCCGCCAAACGTGCTTATGGTTTTGGCAATTTAAACATAAGGTAAAGGTATCCTTATCCTTTCTATGGTCTTGCGAGTTTATTGTTTTTCTTCTCCAAAGAGGTCCTGGCACAAAGTCTTCTAGAGTCAGAGACTCCTGCAGAATACTGGTAGGTCCGAGGGCTGGGTCAGCAGTGAAGTTGTGTTGACTAGATGTCACTGCGTGGACTCAAAAAAATCGATTTCGCTTCAGCTTTCTTTGTGACCGAACAACATTGAGCACATACCCTTCATCAAGTTGGCTTTGATCGCGCTCTATTCATGAGTACCTATTGACAACAACCGGGCTTCGCTACCTCGAGGCATCTTTCTTCCTAATGTTACCACAGGCGGCCCGTTGGGTGTATTATGGTCACTAACATCTCGAAGGAAACAATGTTTAGAGCTTTAAGTTTTTTTTCTTCTAATCCCACAAAGTCTTTGCCTTCGGTGGTGCTTCAACGAGGGGTAGCTCTGGTTGCCAAATTTGCGCTCTTGTGTGAGTGAGCACAGGTGAAGGTTCCAGGCACGAGAGCCTGACGGGCTAGTGGAATGTATGGTACTTTGGATGCAAATGAGGTGGGATTGTAAAGGTCTGAACTCATGTAGGTCTTGATAAGGTGGAACCTGGTTTTTCGCGCAGTGAGATTGTCGCAAGCAAGCAAGACGATCCCCGAAGGTCTTGCGAGATCAGCGATTGCATACGTGGAACAGTTACGTGCTTAGTTTATTGTTTATTTCCTCCTGTTAGGGAAATTGACGGTTGTCACTTGTTAATTAAATTTTAACCACCTGTTTTGGTGGATAACTAACTGCATGCACCCCGGTTTTATGTCAGGAACATGACATTCTGCACGTGCAGTTAATGTTAGGGTCAAGTTTAACTCATTCGATGCCGTAGCCTAGACATAAAGTTATATTAATTAAGAAAATAAGTTGTTATTTGTCGTCTAAAAGTATTAGGTGAGCAGAGTGTATTACATGAATGATTGCGTATTTTTGGAAATTTCAATGTAAATAACCACCGCAAGTCAGACCTTTGATTTCCTATATTTCTGACGACGAGACAATTTATTAGCCACGCCAACATTTTTGTTGCAAGCAAATTAATACGTACTTTCAAGAGTTGTGTGTATTACTATGAGAGCCGAAGTTGCGATCATGACGCTTTCATGTCTGTTTTCCTTGCAAGAGAGCTTGTTCAACCTTTGATAATGTTTCTCGCAACCTGTGAGTCGGAGTGCAGAAATAGGCGCATTGCTGGAGGGAATGCTAAACTATCGTTTCAAGCAAAAACACGAAACCAGAAATGGCTATCTCATTTATTTCTAAGTCTTCTGTTTGGGTGGAATTTCTGAGGGCGCATCATTAATCAACGCATAAACTAAAACACTTTAAACTAGTGTCCAATACGAGTATTTTTTTTTTTTTTTTGAAGCCGCGAGCATTCTCTGTTAACTTATCTTCACTCCGAGCAAAGAAGAAAAAAAATGAGCCCTTGTGAGGTAACTTCGCGTGCCTCTTAAATATCCTTCTATATTGGTGAAGCGTTGGCATGATGGCCTTTGAGTCTCAATAAAAATGTCATTTGAACATTACGAATGTGTACTGTGTGCTTAGTATCCCCACTGAGAACGCATCATCTATAGTTTGCGGGTACACTATACAGAGGTTTTCTTTTATACCTACTACAATTTTACCGTCTAGTTGCGTTACGTCAACAAGAATTACTGTTGTCAATTGAGTGCACATAAAACAGGACTATGAAAGCTAAAAGGCAAGGATATTGATGATATTACACTTGTTTCTTCAAACGATAAATAACGTAATAATTGAAAACGAGCTTGCTGGTGAATGGATACGAATACTTGAAAGGATAAAACGTCGAGGACGGGAACAGAAAGAAGTTTTGTTTGCATCCCCGTCCTCGATGTTTTATATTTTCAACTATTCGTAATAAATGACGACACCCTTTTTTTTGCCTTGTGAGGTCTATTTATAGTAACGTAGCATGTTTGTTTCGAAAAATCCTTCACACGTCAGTAGGAAGCGGAGATTCTTCAGTTCTTACGGAGCGAAAATAACAAAGCTCGAAAAATATGAAAAATAAACATCGCACACAAAGGTGTGTCGCACATCTGTCACTTGTGATTTGTCTATTGTCTTTGCGCCACCCTTTCGAATTTCCTTTTTTCAATATTGTCCTTTTACTTTTCTTTTACTGTTGTATCCATCAGTTTTATCGTCACACACTGCTATGTGTCTCTTTTAACCCGTATTCTAAAATCTGCTCGGTAGACACTCATGATCGCCAAATTAGTTTGTTCGCAAATGTTCTTCAAATTTTTTTTGCAATTTCCCCGAAAAAAACAAAAAATTGGCAACCACGACGCCACAATCAACTTTTTTCGAAGCAAAGCTGCCCTCCGCGACCAGGTAACCTTCAACTTGCAGCCGGCAACCTCGTTATCTCCAACGCCACGCGGGGAACAAAGGCAGTCTCTGTCTTGAAGAAGACAGTGTCGAAAGAAAAACAACAAAAAGCTTCAGCTTTTAGCAGCGTGTCAGGGTCAACCGGCCGTCCAGCCGACACCGCCGAAAGCTTCGGGTCAGCTACCGCGGCTCCTCGTTCGCGAGATACGGGAAAACAGCGAACCCAAGAGGAGCAAACGGACTTGACAAAAGCGAGACAAAATAACCGGCTTATCGGAACCTTCACGGTCCGTTAGCTTTCTTCTAAATGAGGATGATGTCCTCCCCGCCCCCCCCCTCTCCGCTGACTCAGCCGAGAATCCTAGCACGTTTTGAGCTGCGTGGCACAATGTGACGAATGATGGAAGTGAGCCTGAACGATACACACAGAAAGTGAGCTATAATTTCTCGTCGCAGGTTGTCGCTTTCTCATGTTACCGAGAGGAACGTTTCTCTTACTCAGCTTTTCAGACGGACGAGGATAATTTTGAGGGGAAAACGTACCAAGCTGAGAAATGCCAAGTTCACAGATTTTCTCTAGTTCCACAGCTCAAGGTTTGAGGCTTGCAAAGGTTCGAGCTCTTGACGGGCTTTTCTTCATGGGATCACTGTGGTCTCTCAAAATCAGTAGTTTTCCATAAACTAGAGGTATTCCAAGACGAGAAAGCATTTTAATGAACTTCTATTTTTATCTGAACATAAACCTCAAGAGAAGTGTCGACAACAAATTGTTTTTTTGTAGTTTTTTATTTCATCTAGCAAATTTTTTATTAGGCGGTTTTGGTTAGAGGGAGCACAACTTGTAAATACCAAACATTGTAATGGATGCTTATTTTAAAATCAGTAGAGTTATTACCGAACGGCATAATTTTAGTTTCAATCCATAATCGATGCCAGCCTTATAACAAACGTTTCCCTATTTATTAAGGCCAGCTTATATGTTCCACCAATTCGAATTGAGTACCAATGCAAACACCTTTGACACTCTTTAGTTCCTGTCTTCTACGCTTACATAAAATCCTCTAAGGCCGCTCATAATACTACGCTCTCAAATATTTAGTCTCTGAAACACATATTCGACCAATCTGTCTACCGCCCATTATAAAATGGGACCCCGGAAGAAAAACTTGACCTTGTCAAGTTGGCACATATTAGCTTGCTTTACCAAAATTCTTTCTGAAAACAAGACTACACTCTCTGACATATTTACTTGATTGACTTGAGCCTAAAATCTGTCAGCCCGTTCGACCGTCAAACTGTTAGACCGTCTTATGACGGATTTAGAGACGGCAATCTCCTGTTCAGTTTTAGTTCTCCTCCCATCCGGACAGTTTTCAACGACACCAGCAAACGCCTCCACGAGTGCTACAACAGAAGTTCTCATTCGTCTACTCAAGCACATAGTCAATTCTCCAAACAACCATCACAATCACGGTAATCTGAGTAATTATTTATAAGACCCCTATGATGTTACTTCATCTTCATGGCAGATACATGTGTAACAAAAGTTGCGCCTAAGCCGGCAAACATCGGTCTTGGACGCGTTCCAGAGACCATGGTGAAAACGACAGGGTCCAAATCCACGTGCGGGTGCGAACAAAGTAGCGAACACAGAATATGTGTGACAACGTAACCTTACCACACCTTACCAACGTAACCTTCCAACGTAACCAATTGGAACGCGCCAAGCTATTTGAGGATCTCGTAATGCAGACCAAGGAGCATGATATCTGTGCTCAACCCTCTGGCAAGAAGTGTTTAATCATGTCTTTGCGACACTTGACCGTCGGAACATCGTCAAACTCTGAAGGTTCAGGTGCTACGCGGATTCATATTCGCAATTTTCCTCGCGATATTAGCATTCGAGGCCAAGCCACGTCTAGAACGCGCTTAGATCACATTTAAACTTATAGATAAAGGGGAGAAAAACGGCAAATCTTTAAGAATTCAAAGACACTAAGTTTTGACGCAAAGCAAGTCTTTGTGTATTTCATTCAATTTGGAACACTTTTGTGTCCTTGATATTTTCAGTTTTTTTTTACTAGAGTATAAAAAAGGATCTCATAATTACTTAATAAATCGCTATATTTCAATTAACATTCAGCTAACTACTTTTGTAGTGGGTAAGTCATTCTCAATTTTTTTTTGTCATGGAGATTGACTTTTTTCTTGATACCTGATGCAATACCTTGATTGGATTATACTTCGCAATTGAACTGTCGCTTGAATTTCAACAAAAAAACTTGAAATGGCGTTTTTATTGAAGTTGACTGAGAAGTAATAAACCTAATAAATAAAATGCAAACGTAATTAGCTCCGTGGAACCACATGTAATACATCAGCAATATTTACCGCTTCCAAAATCTTAAGGCCTTAAAACAATTTCTCAAGACCTTAGAGATTTTAGTATCTTTGCAATAAAGGTAGACATGTATCTTTCAGAATTTTTGTACCACAGATGCCTATACTAACTTACAATATACACTTATTACACTGAAACTAATTTTTTTTAAAGAAGACATTTAAGTGTAATTGTACTACCCATTTTTTTTCGACGTCTACTGTACTTCGATTGAACGAAACCTGGCAAACAACGAAAACTGGGGCACCCACAAGCCGATCAAAGCGTTGGAGCGAGGCAGGTCACAACAAACTGTCGAGGTGTGCTCTGTTGTGTTAAGCTGTCTGGTGCTTCGTATTGGCCGCAGTTTCCTTCATTTGCCAAGTTATGCTGGAACGGAGGACAATCGCATTCCGGTAACGGTCAGCTCAAGGACAAATCCCAGCTATCCACCGGATGGGGTTAACGAGATTCCCTTAGGGGAAAACACAAGAGTGTGCAAGGTGTTACCCAGATGCTCTCCAATCGCGCAGAAGCCGAGCTGTTACCGATTTACGGCGGGAGGAGCTTTTTCTAAGCAACAGAGAGAGCTCCGTCCAATCGACTATCATAAGGAGGGAATAGAGCGTACTTCGATTTACGAAGCGACGTTATTGGACGCCCAAGTCTGAAGCTAAGAGCTTACAACCTCTTTGTTATTAAGGTTCAAGCTTTCACATTCACGTATTAGCTGGATAATACTACTCTATTTTTGTTTGAAGGTGTTATCTTCTCAGGTTTAAATAGAGAGGAACTAAGTCATATTTATTCAAGCCGGTAGCTTCATCGGAGCAGCGCTATGTGTGCTGCGTAGTAATTTTAGATTCTAAATTAAATTTATTGTACGCAGGTGCCCTTCTTCTAGCAATAAATGACTGTACAAATGATCACTCTAAGCATAAATACAAATGTAATAAATTAACACTTGTTTGCATAAAAAAAAGTCAAACTATTGTTTTTGGTGTGTATGGGCTTTAATTTTAAAAATGTATGACCCAGCCTAATGAAATTAAACTAAACTTATTAGGTTTTTATAAATACACATTTAACTTTACCATATATCTAACTTTAAAAAGAATCTTGGAGTGTTCATATCAGTAAAAAGGAATATATAATTAAATTAATGGATATAAAATACAAATAATTTCCAAGAGTGTCCGATAATGTCAAACTCTCTGCTGCTCTATACTAAATGAAAGGTGACTGACTGGTGCATTGCATCGCCATGTTATACCTAAACATTTCACAAAAAAAAAGACTCAATCAGCGCCTCCTATCAGGCAGAACCGGCCATATTGCTGAACGCTATATCTTCATTTATTTGACGAAAAAGTGTTGTCACAAGCCCCTGTAATTACATTCTTTGGACCTTAATAATTTCAGAAATATGCATATAATACAATGTTACTTTATAAGAAAAAAAACAATATTTAATAAATTTGGCCACCCTAAGGAGCTGCCTCATATTGTGTGAAAAAAATCTTAAACCCCTTTTAAGTGGCGTATAGTGAGTGGTAACGCTACAGAGAGGACATCAAACTTCTGAAATCATAAAGAACGACTAAAAATAGTTTAGGCACCACCAAAGTACACAACACCACCTTTACATTTATAAAAACAAAAGCGAAACAATCTGGTCGGGTGACAAAAGAAAGTCTACAAAAAGAAACGCACAGAGTTGCCAGCCCTCAACGTGACTCGACTAGAAGTAAAAGTCCAGCCTAAACAGAAACCTAATATCACCCC